AAAATATGGGTGAAATCGGTTCACAACCACGCCTGAAATCTCGATTATCACTTTATCATGCGAGAGTATAAAATGTTCGGTGACACCCGAACTTAGGCTTTCTTACTTGTTATTTTTCTTTTATTCATATATTTACAATCATGTTATAAACCTACCTATTTATCAGTTAGATTACACACAGTGTGGTCTTGAGGAAGTAACATGATCCTAACAGTGTATTTACTTGATTACTTTTAGTTAATTTTCCATCGTATTTATTATATATCTGGCACTCGATGTGTTCTAGACCAGAAGAGTGGCGTGTAACACCAGTTAAATGCCAGTTCAGAATGACAAAAAAAAATTTCTAGATTTTTCAGTTATTCATTTGTAGTATAATGTATAAGTCAATCATGAAATCAATTTTTGTCATGACTAAGTTTTTTACTGAAGAAAATAAAGCGCAAAAAATATCGCTGGATTGGTAATATTCTGGGAAAGATTCTAGACAGCAGCAGTAGGCCTGACTGAAATAAAATAAAGATGGAGATGTTCGGAAATGCGCGAATAAGACGATCAAAATAATTTGGGACGGCGCAAAGGCCTCCTGAATCGTTTGAGAATCCTGAATCAGTGAAAAGTAACAAAAAAGAACCAAAACAAGTTAATTCGAGTATAACCGAACATTTCATACTCTTGCAACTTGCAAGGATTAAGCCGGGGTAATACCTTCAGGTACATGAGGTCTTTTGGTGTCGAACAGCTTGCTCATAATGGTAGCTCTTTTTTGGGCTGTAAAAAGCCACATTGAAATCGACGAAGAGGTGGACCATGTCGATKCTCTTTTCAAGGGTCTTTTCCAAGATTTAGCTGATTTATATACTTAAATTGGTTAAAAACGGTCGATGTTCGATTCCACTTAACCGAGAACGATTCGGATTCTTAAAAGCTTTAAAATTTAATGTCTCTGGCGTATTTAGTTATAATCCAATTTCATGCATTATTACACCGGAGTTCTTCTAATATTTGCTCTAGGCGAGTTTGGCATTTTATAGGCTTTCGTGTAATGGCGTTTCGTGGGCATGGTCTATCTACGAACACGTCCTCACTTTCTTGCCACGAAGCACTTGTAGCAAGTTTTATCAAGATATCATAATTTTTACTGAAGTTATTACTTGCACATACGGACGAACGTACAGAGAGTCCCTCGGATTTCAACTCGTCTCATCACCTTGATCATACATATATGTAGTATATAACCCCATATCTAACTCGATTAATTTGAGGTGATACAAACATCCGTTAGGTGAACATAACCATCATACTCTGTATTAACATGTTGCAAGAGTATAAACATCTTGTGTATATATTTTTTTAAATTAGTTATCTTTTATAACCTATTTTATGCAATATACAAATACATTTTCACACAACTTCTGTCTATTTTAAAAGCTTCTGTTAAACAATCACTGTTAAGAAATAACTACTAAAAGCTTTACTCATGTGCAGTTTATGCATAYAAGCGTTAAAGCTCGGCTAACGATTGTAGAAGCTTAAATGAAGTGTTGAGAACAAAAAGCTTCCAAATATGGCGCGCGTTTGTTGAACACAAATCAAAAGTCTGTTGTATTCAAAAGTTGGATATAACAAACTTAATGAATTCACGAAAGCTAAGTGACTTGCAAATGGATWTTACAAATATGAGAATATATTCCTGTTTACTTATTCTCATTGTTTAATATACATAAAACTATATTTACTTTATCTAGCGGATGTCAAAGTTTGCATATTTATGAAGACGTTACAACAGCTACTGAGATCAAAAAGTACGTAATTAGACAACCTATGCATTGGTCGACTGTTGTTTAGGCTAAGAATGCTGGGAAGTAGTCAAGTAGGTACAGAAAATTTGTTTTTAAATAGCTGAAACTTAAACGTATCTGCATACATACTTATATCTTTCTTCCTTACTGGCGTAGCCACCACTTACGCGACTGTAGCCGAGTTAATTACAGCACACCAGTCGTTTCTTCTTTTCTCTACGTGTCGCCAATTGGATATTCCAATCGAATACAGGTTCTTCTCCACTTGGTCTTTCCAACGAGAGTAGGTCTTCCTCTTTTTCTGCTTCCCCCGGCGGGTACTGTGTCAAATACTTTCAGAGGGTCCATTCGGACAACAGAGGAGTGTTTTCGTCCATTCGGACAACACGACGTAGCCAGTGTAGGCGCTGCCTTTTTAGTCATACACCTCATCGTTCCATCGAATGCAATATTCGCCGTAGCCAACGCGGAAAGGACCATAAATCTTTCGCAGAACCTTTCTCTGGAAAACAATATAACGCCGGCTGATSAGATGTTGTCAGCGCCCATGCCTCTGCACCATATAGCAGRACGGGAATARTGAATGACTTATAGAGTTTGGTTTTTGTTCGTYSAGAGAGAGAGGGACTTTACTTCTCAATTGCCTACTYAGTCCATTGTTGGTRTTGATACATTTYATCTGACAGTGTATTTCYGTACACAGTGTCTTCCAAACGGTCGTAAGCAATCCCCAGAAAAAAAATTGTCGGTGTTGCAGAGAGGAATAGATATTTTTAGGGGTTTCCACGAAGTTTATAATACACAGAATTAAGGAAACCTTGTAAAATGTGTTTAAAGCTATCAGTAGCCGAGCTGAGTTCTTAAAGGGATGTTCGCCTCTCCGTCTAACCATGCGTCGGTCTGAATATACGCGAAGTAATCCCTCAGTCCTTAAGCTATCGATATGAAATTTTGTATAC